GCGTGGAGGGTTCCAAGTTAGACTTGACCGCGACCTCGGCTTTTCCTTGAACAACTAGCCCTTCACCATTGGGGTCGCGCGAACGTCTACAGTACTGCCGTTAGTCTTGATGGACCCGGCAAAAAAGCGTTCAGCTTCTCAAGCAAATCTGGCATTTGCCAATCGTCCAACCAAGCGTAGACAAGCTCCCCGTCAGCCATCTTCGCAACCCTTTTCTCTCAGTATATTATCGCTACCGAGTCAAGCACGCGTTTTGGACCTCGCCGGTAGTGCATTCGCTTACATGTCGAAAGGTAAACGGCCATTCCAGTCCTTAACACTACGAAGGACAGAGGACGCTGACTTAAATTTCGTCACTGTCAGCTTTGAATGCAGAACCTACTCCTATTAATCGTGAAGATGGTGTCGACGTTGATATTCCCGGAAGCTTCCCAGCGAGGAACCCATCAGCATTGGCAAACGGCGAGGCCAGCCCAGAAAAGAAAGAAGAGAGTGGAGGTGAAGATGAAGAAGGTGACGATCAGGATGAGAGCTTGACGTACCAACGCGAAATGTCTGAAGTTTTAACGCAAACACATGACTCTTCGGATGGTTCTCCTGTACCGGATACTCCCCTTCAGTCTAAAGCGGGATCTTCGTCTCCAATGAGAGATATGTCTGTTTATGGGACCACTTTTGCATCGGAACGATCCACGCCACTCTCCACCTCACCCCGAAAAGGTGCAATAAGGAAGCCGGTCCTCAAAGTCGGGTTCAGGCATCATGCCCATCCTCTTAAAAAGCAGGTTTGTCAGCATTTCTGATCTGTCTCAAAGGGAAAGTTCCAGTTTCAGTTGACATTTCCCCCCTGTCTCTCCACACCCTGTAGCATGAACTAGAGCAAAGGATGAAACACACGAAAGAGCTCTTTTTACTGAAGCGAGCCCGCGGGTACTCCCAAGATTTATCGACATTTCGAGGCGAGTTGTCGGCCGTGATTAATCCTGGCATTATTTCTCACGATTGTGTAGGCTATATGAGCTATCGCGAACACTTGGAAGCATTCCTGGCGGCTACAGATAAAAAGTGTAGGTGTGCCTATCTTGAGACTACGCGTCTAATGCTTACGCGCCGCCCGAGTAGTACCCCCTCCCCCATCCACTTTTGGCCCTGAGTCAATAGTGAGTGCTACGGCTAAATGAAAGATAATTTCCTTAACTATATCGCTCAGCCTCCACTTCCTTCCACCAACTTCCTACATCGCGCGGTACTGAATGCTAGAAGAACCTTGGAGGGGTACGTATTTCTGTCATGTCCCCATCTCCTTTCATTAACGTCTTCATAGTCCTCGTCCAGTAATACCTAGATTCTCTACAAGCGAGCTGCTTGCTAAACGAAATAAAGAACGGGATGAGGAAATTGAACGACGATTACGACCTAAGGTTGGTCATTTAAAGATCTGAATTGACATTCTCCCAATTTCTGACATTGATTACAGCTACCGGACTTTTTACCTCCCGAGGATGAGCAAAAGGTCAAACAGTCACTTACAAATAAATCGTTCCTCGCCAAAGTGGCAAGAGAACAAGTGACGGCTCAGGATCTCTCCAGACTAAGACCCGGACAATGGCTCAATGACGAGATTATCAATTTATACGGCGCCATGATCTCTGAACGAGCGGCAAAGTTTGAAGAAGCACAGTCCCAAAAGCAAGCATTTAGCGAGGGTACTGGCGTTAATGGGTATGGCCATTCACCCAACGGAAAGGGTAAATCCAAGGCCAGCAATGGCTTAGAAGGCATCGGCGAACCTTGGAAGGTGCATGTATTCAACACATACTTTATGTCAAAGTTGCAAGAGATGGGCTATGAAAAGTCTAGGCTCAATAAATGGACAAAGAAGGTTGGTAAAGATTGTGTGACAGTTAGAATGTACTAATGTACTGTCTGAACAGATCGACATCTTTAGTAAAGACTTGGTCTTGATTCCTTGTAATCTTGGCAACTCTCATTGGACATGTGCTGCGATCAACTTTAGACAAAAACGGGTGGAGTACTTCGACAGTATGGGGATGGACCGACCATCAATACGAGCAGTGAGTTTAAGCATACGCTGCCCGTCTAGTTTGTTGAACAGGTCGTTTCATATCACTAGGCGTTGCACACATACCTAGACAAGGAACATAGGGACAAAAAGTCGGCACCATTTGACTTTACAGGATGGACGGATTTCTTTGGAGAGGATGGCCCTCAACAAGAGAACGGCTACGATTGTGGGGTATTTGTCTGCCAGACGATGGAAAATCTCTCGAGAGGAATATCTTTACCTTTCGACTTCTCTCAACAAGACATGCCGTATTTACGGCGCCGAATGATCCTAGAGATTACGGCGCAGGAGTTGCCCCTACAGAGATTGTGACTCTTATTTTAGGATTATTTTGGGTATTGTTCACTGTATCTTTACTGTGTCTTTGGTAACTTCTGGTGTTC